TTTTTTTTTTTTTCAGAAACCCCTAATGCAGCTCTGGACCTTTCAAAGTAATTACTGCTGAGTCTGTATTATCAAGTGCTCGATATATAACCTGCTGCCGCGGTTTTAAGAGAGAGGAGATCTTGCCATGAAATTCTTAAATGCGTCGGGACCCTGTGGTTGGGTTTGTGATGTATATTGATAATGTCCTGTGTTTATTCTCTTTATTATGTATATTTGGCCCACTTAGCTTCCTGCACTGGGTCTGGAAGGAGATCCGTTTTCCATCTCATATTTTGGATCGGAAAGATCCCCTGGCGCTTTTTGCTTTTTTATTCTTCTTTTCTGAGGCACTTTGCGTTTAGTTCTATGCGTAATAATGCGCAGACTGTTGGGTTTTGGCACAGGGGAAATGAGGAATCCTCTCTACTAACGGGTCATTAATGATACATTTTTAAGTTTCACTTATTTACATGGACTTTTGTTAACTAATTAGGACTGAGTAGGGACATACGAAGAAATGTATTTTTAATTTGCGCTCTACTCTGTTACGCACAGACGCATCACAGCATCAGAGCTGGTCAGCTTCCTGTTTGGCTGCTTGGCATCAAGTGAAAGTCTGGATTTTATACATTTTCTTACACATCTCCGAAACCCTGTAAATGTACGATGTGTGACCACTACCACTTTAATTTATTTTTCCTTTCCTATTTAGTAAAAGAAATTGGCTGAATGTTAAAGAAAAAGCCTTAAGCCCGCTGGTTTCAGTCTCAGATGGCAATAATGTGTAATACTACCACTACCAGCAAGGCGCTGAGCCACCAGCTGTCACAGCAAATTTGCTCTGTAGACAGCACTGTATTTAGAACAACAGACCTTGAAAGTGTGGCTGTCTTGGCTTAAATTAGCGATTAAATAAAATACTCTCTCTCTCTCTGGTGATGCTCTGCTATTAAAGCTCTCTCTCTCTCTCCCTGTGCGCAGAGTGCGATGTGCTGTATCTCCTGTAGCCACACCCTCTCGCTACTGCTGTGCATCCTCACCCTGACTCCGACGACAACAGGGGCGTTCCCAGAGACCCTGTGCGGGGCGGAGCTGGTCGACACGCTGCAGTTTGTGTGTGGAGAGAGAGGCTTTTATTTCAGTAAGTGCACTTTTTATTTATTCATAAAGGTTGGCTGTGTCTGTCCCAGAGCTCCCCACCTCCAGTGAGCTCATAAATAAAAAAGCAGCCAGTTTGACATCTTGTCTTGTCCTTCCTTGCATCAGTGTCCTCTTTCTACCTTCATTCATTCATCTGCTATTGTTACATGTTTTCTTTAAGTTCACATTCACCCCTTTGTTTCAGTGCTCAACTTTATGGGCTAAAGCCAAGAAACCTGAATGAAACATAGAATTACTATGCTGTTAGTGGCAAGTGGGGAAAGCCCTTTAAGTGGAATTTGGCTGAGCATATTTAAGACCAAGGTGGGGTAGAACCTACTGTACATGTTGATATAAGGTTTTTTCTTTTTTCCACCAGAGCAGAGAAAGCTAACCAGAAAGCAAAATCTTCCACCAAGAACCCAGGATTTAAATCTCACATACTGTATTTCTATTAAGGGTTACAACCCAACCCAGAACTGCACAGTATTTGTGGCGTTAACAGGGTTAGGTGCAATGTTCCACCAACAGCTAGTGTTTCTTGGGACATGTATCCTGACCATTCTGTCAGAGAGGAGCAGTGTGACTGTGCATTTGTAGTGTAGCTGGCTCACCACAGGGCTGAAGCTTATAACATAATTATTCACATTTCTTTGGCTGACATCCATCACTTAAGCCACTTTGCACCAAATGTCCTTGAGGAGCATCATATCTCCACCAAAAGTCATTTTGTATTTTTACAATAATTGATCATCTCTCTGACTCCAGTGCTGCTCTGACATAACAAACTATTATTAATGGTTTGGTTTTGTCCCAAAGTTATGAAAGATTTTCCGCATGTGGTAGACTTTGCCACCTGCCAATTTCAAAAAGGAGAGAAGAAGATATAAGATATCTGTGGAAAATCAGCGACATCTACAGTATAGTGCATTTGCTCTCTTTTCCAGCAGTTGATAGCTTTTGCCTTACAAACCTGAAAGGGTTAGTAAATGCTCCTTCTGAAGAACCTGGTGACGGGTGCTTACTCGGGGCCATGAAGGGGTCTGTTTTTGAATCCCAGCCTCAGCACAGCAGAGGGAATGATGTAGTAGTGGCTAGTGTATAGTCATGCAAATCCAAAGAAAGGTTAAAAGCCAAACATAACTAAGTATAATATGTTCATGTCTAGTCATGTTACATGAAATTGTTTTGTATACTTCTTTCCGCTAAATGCTACCACAAGCATGTTCACAAACTTATGTTTAACAAGTTCACTGCCTTAGATTAGTATAAATAAGCCAAAGTATTGGACAAACTTTAAAAGTTTGAAATTTTGATCTGAGAATGGGAACATTCAATGGTTCAGGGGATACATTTCATGGAAATTCATCCATTAGTTATTCGGCCTACTGTCCTGTATGTCATCGCTTGTCTTAAAAGGTCAAATGACAGTTTTTGCTTGGGCTGAAGACTTTTTTCTGCTTTGGCCAAATCTTGTTCTGTACTGCTGAGAAAGAGTTTTGCTCATGACTCCGGTACCTGCACCTTGTAATGGTACCAACAAAGGCATCCTTATATATAAAAGAGCTCCATCCATGTTCTGCCACTCCTCTGAGTCTTGGCCCTGTGTAGCCACCTTTTCCAGCTCTCCTTGTTGTATCCTGAGACATTCTCAAGCTAGATGGGATACATAATCCCTTCATCCTGTTCTGGGTCTGCCTTTTGGTGTACTCTGACATTGCAGTCTCATCCCAGAGGCTCTTACCAGTAGACCTCTTTCATCCATTGCCTGTTCATGCACTGCTAGCTATGCCTATGAATTGCATTCATATTAGATGGTTTTGCATATAATTAATGTCCAGTGGTGCAAAACATGTAGCTAGATGGAGAGTAAGTGTGTGAAAAGTTTGGACTGTGAATGGATGTGATACCAGAGTTCATATCCAGTCACACACCAATATTTAAACTAACCCCAACTGTGAACTTAAACAAGTGTTTCAGTTGCATGGTATTAATCACATTGTTGTTGCTTAAGGTAAGGCTTTGCACAAATAAATACATCAAAAAAAATCTTTGAGTTACACAGCAACACATTGTCCTTCAATGTGATCAGACTTTCTGCTGATTCATCCAGTTTCAGCGTTCTGTTGGGCAGTAGGGTCACCATGCACCTTGCTACTGCTCCCCACCCTGTCACATTTCTCCACCCCTGCATGCAGCTTCTCCAGGACAAGTCAATAGCGTTCTCTGCATTAGGCACTTTGTACGGTGTTTGCCAGAGGGTTGCTGGCAAGCCACCGATCTGCTGCAAAGCTGTGAGTTTTGTTCATCCAGATGCTGCTGGCAACACTAACATGCTGTGAAGTGGTCATGACAGCCTGTGCATTTGCCAGTTTTCTGCCATTTAAGGCTTTCTGGTTTTTGGATTCCCTTTGCTACAGCAATTCTCTTGTATAAATGGCCATGTTCTCTTCATTTAGAGAGTGTAAGATTAGGGAGTGCATCGTCAACTACTGCATTTAAGTAAATGTAGACCTAGAATTCTTCTTGTAAAATCAATTTGTTCATAATCATCAGTCAGTGTTTTGGATTCTGGGTAGACAACTACTTCCTCATTGTGCATTCAGTGTTTTCATATGATGAAAAGATCAAGTCTTCAAGACTAACTAGTCTTGGACAGCATTTGGCCAGTCTTTGTCCGCAAAGCCAAACTCACTGGGAGATTCCCTGGATATGTTTTATATCTAAGATTAAGGGTTTGTAAATTGGTTCCAAAAAGCATCTGCAGCTAAAAGCTGATGAAATGTTTAAGACTTTACAAGGTATTGGGGTGTCCAGAGATTGGATGATGTGACAAGTGGTTGGATACTGATAGCGATATTCTACTACGGTTTTATAAATATTTCTCACAGGCTACAGAAGTATAGCATACTGCCCACATTCATCACATTAGAAAGTGCTGAAATGAAGCCAGCGTAACTCATGAATCCTCATGCAGGATACACTTCTTAAAGAGGAACAGATCTATATGTGGGAAGGGGGGTGTATTTGTCTTTTCTGCATTACCTTACACTGAGCAGTCACTGAACTGCACAGCGTCCATCTATCAATGCCACATTTTCCTGTGTTGTAAAACAGGTCTCTTTCAGACACACTCCATCCTTTTTCTGTAGAGATGATGAGGTTTATGCAGCAGGGTTCTGTGCCTTGAAAAATATTCTTGCTTGGTTTCTGTTACTCTCATATATTCTTGCTGTTATTCCTTTTTCTTGTCCTCTAATTTGATCGCCACATGTACCAGTGCAGTTTGCATAAAATATCTGGAGAATCCATTTGGGTTCAGTCGTCTGCAGCGTAACAGCTTAGCCAAAGGAGGCATGCTTGTTTCCCTGAACTCTTCCCCTGTAGTCTGGCCGTGTTGAACTTGGCAGCCCTCAGATAATGTGTCCAGAAGCAGTGTTGCAACGACAGTGGGCTTTTTGTGCAGAGAGAGCTTTTGCCAATCCACCTTACACATGTAACCAATAAAGTAGCACACTTGCACTTTAAGACTACATATTTTCTACCCTGACAGAAATACTAAATACTAGTTGGTGGAAATTTTTTTTTTAAGGTAATGAAACAAACTGCGGTCTCAGAAACAGAAAGAAGAAATCCACAACCGTAGTCAGTTTTTCCAATTATTAGCCTGACCTAGAAATCCTCAGTTGTCCTTGTAATGCTTTAGCAGCAGAACTGTGGCTGATTTCACTGGGATATTCATTCCATGAAACAGATCTCTCATGGGAGTTTGTTTGAGTAAAGTGCTAAGTAGCTCCCTGTCCTAAGTCACGTTTAGTTCATGCAGAAATATTCACACTTATTCTAGAGCGATAATGAAATATATAGTCTTACTTTCCTTAAAAAGAATGGTGCCCAAACTCTCATGAATTACAAGATGGAATAATCCACCCGTTTTAGCCAAGACTAACTGCTCGTACATGAAGCAGCCAAATACGAAACATGGTAATGTTTTTATATGTTTTGTGTTTTGTCTAATGGCGTAGTGACTGAAGGTGGAACTGAGCGAGGAGGCGAATTGCTTTTAGCTGCCATCAGTGAGACGTCCTTTTCACTGTCCGTCCCTGTTAATTTCATTGGAGCTGTAGAGAGAAGTAGAATGTGCAAACAGCATGCATGCACTTAAACATGCATATACAGTGGGTACGGAAAGTATTCAGACCCCCTTAAATTTTTCACTCTTTGTTATATTGCAGCCATATGCTAAAATCATTTAAGTTCATTTTTTTCCTCATTAATGTACACACAGCACCCCATATTGACAGAAAAACACAGAATTTTTGACATTATTGCAGATTTATTAAAAAAGAAAAACTGAAATATCACATGGTCATAAGTATTCAGACCCTTTGCTCAGTATTTAGTAGAAGCACCCTTTTGAGCTAATACAGCCATGAGTCTTTTTGGGAATGATGCAACAAGTTTTCACACCTGCATTTGGGGATCCTCTGCCATTCCTCCTTGCAGATCCTCTCCAGTGCTGTCAGGTTGGATGGTAAACGTTGGTGGACAGCCATTTTCAGGTCTCTCCAGAGATGCTCAATTGGGTTTAAGTCAGGGCTCTGGCGGGGCCATTCAAGAACAGTCACAGAGTTGTTGTGAAGCCACTCCTTCGTTATTTTAGCTGTGTGCTTAGGGTCATTGTCTTGTTAGAAGGTGAACCTTCGGCCCAGTCTGAGGTCCTGAGCACTCTGGAGAAGGTTTTCGTCCAGGATATCCCTGTACTTGGCCACATTCATCCTTCCCTCGATTGCAACCAGTCGTCCTGTCCCTGCAGCTGAAAAACACCCCCATAGCATGATGCTGCCACCACCATGCTTCACTGTTGGGACTGTATTGGACAGGTGATGAGCAGTGCCTGGTTTTCTCCACACATACCGCTTAGAATTAAGGCCAAAAAGTTCTATCTTGGTCTCATCAGACCAGAGAATCTTATTTCTCACCATCTTGGAGTCCTTCAGGTGTTTTTTAGCAAACTCCATGCAGACTTTCATGTGTCTTGCACTGAGGAGAGGCTTCCGTCGGGCCACTCTGCCATAAAGCCCCGACTGGTGGAGGGCTGCAGTGATGGTTGACTTTCTACAACTTTCTCCCATCTCCCGACTGCATCTCTGGAGCTCAGCCACAGTCATCTTTGGGTTCTTCTGTACCTCTCTCACCAAGGCTCTTCTCCCCCGATAGCTCAGTTTGGCCAGACGGCCAGCCCTAGGAAGGGTTCTGGTCGTCCCAAACGTCTTCCATTTAAGGATTATGGAGGCCACTGTGCTCTTAGGAACCTTAAGTGCAGCAGAAATTTTTTTGTAACCTTGGCCAGATCTGTGCCTTGCCACAATTCTGTCTCTGAGCTCTTCAGGCAGTTCCTTTGACCTCATGATTCTCATTTGCTCTGACATGCACTGTGAGCTGTAGGGTCTTATATAGACAGGTGTGTGGCTTTCCTAATCACGTCCAATCAGTATAATCAAACACAGCTGGACTCAAATGAAGGTGTAGAACCATCTCAGGGATGATCAGAAGAAATGGACAGCACCTAAGTTAAATATATGAGTGTCACAGCAAAGGGTCTGAATACTTATGACCATGTGATATTTCAGTTTTTCTTTTTTAATAAATCTGCAAAAATGTCAAAAATTCTGTGTTTTTCTGTCAATATGGGGTGCTGTGTGTACATTAATGAGGAAAAAAATGAACTTAAATGATTTTAGCATATGGCTGCAATATAACAAAGAGTGAAAAATTTAAGGGGGTCTGAATACTTTCTGTACGCACTGTACCTAGACCTTGTCCTTTCAGAAGCAGGGGGATTATGTGGATTACAGGATGATCAGGACACCCCACCCCACCAACCCCACCCTTATACACTGTACTTGAGCACACAGTGGAACACACTGACATCTGAAGAAAGACCTTCTAAGTCCTTTCCATTCCTGTAGGAATTTTCCTATTAAGACCTGCAAAAGAACATGTCCAACCTTGTGTGAAGCACTGCTCAGCAAAACAAAGGAGCAGCAGGTGTCCTCCAGATTTTGATCTATACATTTGGGATTTGAGGACACAACAGGACTAAATAGTACTTTAAATTTTAAACCTATCCAGTCACATAATGTAGAAAGTCTACAAAAAGTAAAGTTATGTCTCAATGCATTAGTGCAGAGATAGTTGATATGCTGGCCACTTTTGGCATTGTCTTCTTCACTTTAGGTTGTCTCATAAATTGTCTTGCATTTTCAGTTCCAGTGATCCACACTGTTGATCACTTGTACACACTTTGTTATCAACAGTCCCACAAAAATAGAGGCAGTGATAGAGAAAATGATGTCTTGAATTCCAGTTAAAATTGGAAGGAATATTCTCATTGTTTCCTATTGTGTTGCAAAAGTTTCTTTCATCCAGTTTATTAAAGAACCACCAAAGGTAAATAACTCCATATATACAGTATTTTCCTATCTCCTAGTTTCCAAAATATGCCTCAAGAATGGCCCCAGGATCTGTTCTTTTCTGTATGGGTCAAACACTACTACCCCCATTTTATCTATATTGATAATGCTGTAAACAACATCTTTAATTTTAGTGGCCAAACATTTGAATAAGATTCTAGTGTCACAGTATGAGGAACACTTTCCTCATGCCATAAACTCTTTGTGTTACCGGTGATAAAAAGACAGTTTCCACTAGTACTTTAGCAGCTCTTACAGCCCCTGCCTAGTTGTAAACTGCCTGACACTTTGCAGTGCACAAGTTCCAAGAATCCACGGGCTTTTACTGTCCCTGACCAAGCTGTAAAACCCAGATTGTTTCTGTATGACTGGAATGGGAGAATTCTGGGGCTGTTCCTTAGAGGAATGAACACCTAGTGTGCAGAGTCTGTAAACACCAAATCAAAGATGATAGGTGGAGCAGTGCAGCGGCACCAGATGAAACGCTTGGTAAACACTCAAATCCGACAAGAGCGATGACACTAGATGCTGCAGATTGACACCTGATTTAAATGATTTCAAGGAACATTCCACTCCAAAGGAATACTCGATAGAATCCAACACTTGAAAGGTGCTTGTGAAAAGTTTGTTGCCCATGGCTTTATTCAGTTTGGATTCACCCCAGATACAGTTTATTCCAACGACAACTGAGAGTTATGGAAGAAAGAAGCTATGCCAGAACATATAAAACCATCCTTCTCAAACCACTTTTGCAGCACAAGGCCATGTTCAGACAGACAACAGCCCCGTCTCATTCGCTGCATGGAGACAGTCCTAGAAGGTCTCATAAAAAAGCTCAAGGAAGCAACTCTATACTGCTTTTTTAATGGTCCTCATGCTTTTCTCTTCCAAAACCAAGAAATATAATTTTACAACACTTCCGACAAAGCATAAATCTCAGTTTTGTCATTTGTACAAGTGAGTGTGCCAAACTATAATGGGCTCATTACCACCTCCTGAGGCCGGAAAACACCAGCTAAAAACACCAATGGTAGGTGAAAACCACAGTTGTAGTGTGTGATTTTTTTTTTTCTTCAATGCCACAAAGGGCAGCAGTGAGTCCATTCCACACTCTAAAACAAGGAGTTTTGCAAGAGTAGAAAAAGAGACTTTAAGGATGAGGAGCTGGCAGGTTTTTCCAATAAATGTCTAGTTAACTGCCCCGCTTCCATTAAAAAGCAATGCACACTCCCTGAGTGTATTTCATCATCTCACCAGTATTTGAAGAAACAGCAGTTGTCTCTTGCCACTACTTCTTGTTGAAATTCATTACTTTGAAGAATAGTTCTACACAGAAGTAATATATTTTACTATGTTCTGGAGAAACAGTGTGTTTCAAACAGTTAAATTGGGGAGAAGTGAATTATGTTGCAGGAAAGCTTTGATTTTACAAGCTGACATCTTCCAAAAAGGGGAAGTTACAAACCTATTCCAAACTATCTTTTAATTCTACCAGTGGTGATACTCAGATTTTCAACTGAGTAGTTGTACTTGGGCCAATAGGCCCAGTATTTCTTTAAATATTACTGCAAATGTTTACAAATTGTTAGCATATTTTCTGTCGAACATAACACAACAATATAAGAGGACAAAAATCAACTAGACACAACTACACTCTACCTCATCATATTGGCTGAACTGCTGACAAATGCTTTCTGACCAAAAACATACCTTAATGATCATGTGTACATCCTTTACCCAGATTCCATTTCAAACAGCAGGGGCCATAAAGCAAGAAGCACTGGCAGAAAATGTTGTTTACTCTTATTTCTTTAACAGCAGTCAGAGAAAACAATTCTTTGCTTATGAAGGGTTACAGCAGTTATCCATGGAACTAAAGCATTTAAAACCTCTTAAAGCTTTTAGACCCGATTATTACATGTTTTCCCCTAACCTGCCTGAGCTGATTATCCTAAATGTTACAAGCAGTGCCAGCTGATTTTGCTCTCCCTTCCAGCTGTTTGTGCAGCAGGGTTGCGAGCTATTTTCAGAATAATAGCGGATGTTAATTTGTAAGGCTTTATTGGGAGAGACTGGAAAACAGGCCATGCAACAAGGCATGGCCCTCTTTTGGCTTTCAGCAGCCATTATATAATCATCAGCCAGGGCTCAAAGTCATATTTCTCCATCAATTGTTAATATAACACCCAAGGCTGGTCCGAGCGAACACACTTCAAAGATGAAATAGGTTAAATACATTGTCCCGAATGTAAGAAAAGAATTATGAAGAAAAACTGTGGAAAATCTGGCTGTAAAACCTGTCAATAGATTAACATTCAAAATGAATAAAAATACAGATGTAAAGAGCTAAATAAAATTTTTCTTTTGTTGTTTATATGTTTAATTTAACATTTATTTGGGGAGTCTGTGTAAATCTGGTTCTTCTGCTTTCTAAATAATGCAGGTGCACAGTATATTTTTAGCATCACTCTACCTGATGCACAACATGAAAGCCTCTCTGTTGTTCCTCCCCTGCTCTCGTTCACACCTCCATCAGCATCACCTCTGCTAAAGTGCCTGAGGGTCTGAGGAGACAGATGCTTTCTGAATGAAAACTGCTCTGTCTAAAACGACATCGTCAGGACAAGGCAAACAGAGAGCAAAAGTTAATGCACTTTGTCAGCACTAGTAGACTTCTGAGCCAAGAGCTATTAATACTGAGCGAGAAAGGCATTTCCTCCTTGTAAATGCCATATTAAATTATTATTATTTCATTTGGTAACAGGGAAAAGCCCATTGGGGCTATATTGCCAAGGTGAGCAGGGAATTGCAAATGTAGAGTCTGGAGAGAGTTTTTCTAAAGGCCACCAAAGGGGGGTGCGTTAGATAGCTGAAAAAGGAAGTGAGCATTGTGGAACTTATTGTGGTCACTGAGTCAAAAAGTGTCACATCTTTAACTGCTTTTTAAATTATACTACAGCAAGAATATTTCCACTACAGCTCTGATGGCCTTGACGTCCTTTGTTTAGCTTAAAGTCATTTCTTGGCATAAAAGGTGCATCAACGTCAATGTTCTCTGCGCTTTCAGGGTGTTCAGGCTTCTGCCAAAAATGTGAATGAATAGCAGAGGATAGCCAACAGGGGTGCAGCCTCAAAGCTTGCCTGGCAGAGCACGGGCCTCTGTGTGGAAGCTACCTGGACTACAATGACAGAGGGTGACATTTTCAGTGTATGGGTGGCTCTGACTCCTTTTTTTCAGCATAGTACAATGTAAATTTTGATGTTCCTCTCAAACAGGTAAGCCAGGCTATGGCTCCAGTACACGACGGTCACGTGGCATTGTGGATGAGTGCTGCTTCCAAAGCTGTGAGCTGTGGCGTCTGGAGATGTACTGCGCACCTGCCAAGACTAGCAAGCCGGCTCGCTCTGTGCGTTCACAGCCCCACACAGATATGCCGAGAATATCTAAGGTTAGTACCGCAGGGCACAAAGTGGACAAGGGCACAGAGCGTAGGACAGCACAGCAGCCAGACAAGACAAAAAACAAGAAGGTGAGCACAGCACCAAACAAATACACTCTAAAAAAAAAAAGGTTTACTCCTCAAGAAAAAAGAGACTAGCACTGGTGTTTTGGTAGCTTCTGTCTGAGCATGCCCACACTTCTCTTTAAAGAAAATGTTTATAAGGTTGAGACCATTTGTGTATTTGTTCATTCAGTATGAAATGACAGCCATCAGTTATTTAGCTTAGCAAAAAGACTGGGCACAGGGGGAAGCTAATTTATGACGGCTGTAGTTAAATATTCAGCATACAAACCTGAGAGTGGTATCAACCTTCTCGTCTCATTATGTGCATTTCCCAAATTGTCAGACGGTTAATTGATAGCATCAGTAGATTCAAGTTCATTAGCAGTTTTATGTATAGCAAGATAATTCATTCAACCTAAGTGGCTTCATTTTCCTCCCACAGAGACCTTTACCTGGACATAGTCATTCATCCTTCAAGGTATGTCTGATACGTTTCACCTTGTTTTATTGTTATTTTTTGTGTCATATAAACCTCT